ATAATGCAGAAAAATGCTCAGAGGATAAGGATAACTTGCCAAAAAGAAAACGCTCTCGGTTAATTAATAGTGTTTTCAGTGATGACGAAGAAAACATTGTTTAATTTATATTAATATGTATCACTTAAAAAATTTTAATGAAGATATTTATCTTAATTATTAAAATATACTAGCATGATTTTTAATTTTTGGAACCTAACCCTCTTTTTCGTATTAGTTCTTTGTTTCGTATAACACGGATTCGCATAACACGGCAATTTTTTGGAACGTAACTACCGTGTTATACGGGGGTTACCTGTATTTAGAAAAAAACAGCCCAAATTGTATACGGCCCATGTGGAATTTTCCACATGGCCAGTCCGCCCCTGTATCTGAAAGATATTTGTTTGATAAATGAATAACAGAATTGAACAAAATCAAATATTTTTTTGTAATATACCAAACAGAATCAAAGCTTTGGAATGATGACCTGAAGATGAGAATCAGTCAAGAACATTAATAAGGAATTTTCATGTAAGGAGTTTACTTTCTTGCAGCTTAGTAGTTTATAGAGATTCCCAAAATGTACATGTTCTGTAAACCCTTGAAGGGTAGCCAAAATTGTCATCTATAGCTATTATTATACAAAATAAAAATTATATAATTGATTAAACTATCTCTGGCTTAAGTATTTAATCATTAAGTAATAACTTATAGGCTACCTGTATAGCTTCATCCTTAAGGCAATATCATATTTTTAGACACATTAAGAATCAGCAATTTAACCTTTATTAAAATATACATCATAGAAAAATTTTATAAATTATCATATGACATTTTATACATATTCTTTTGTATTTTACTTATAAACAATTTTCCCAACATATATTTTTCTTGTTATAAATCTTCAGGATATAGATTCTTCTTAAATAATTTAGAAATGATAAACTTAAATGTTATTTCAGAAGTTTTAATTAAATATTTAAAACAACAGTGTTTTCAGTTTGATCAACTAGTTTCAAACTAGTTCATTTCTTTGACAACTGTAGATGATTGAGTGCATCTGCAAACATAAATTTAAATTTAAACACTTCTTTCAAAATAAACATTATTGTTATTATTAATTATATTATATTTCAGTTATTTTTTTAAATATAAGAAAATTTTTACCTAAAAATCTTTTTATTACAGTAAATCCTTTGACCAATGACTCAAAAATGCAACATATGTGCACACACACACAAACATACACAAATGAAAAGTGAAGAAATCCTTTGTTTCTGACTGTAAGAAAAGAAATCAATTTATATTTTATAAGATGTAAATAAAACTGAATTATATTTATAGAGAACAAAATATAATTTTACAATATTTAATAACATCTAAAGGAATCTCTATATATAAAATATATCAGTTTTATTTACATCTTATAAAATATAAATTGATTTGTAATTCATTAATGTCTGTGTAAATTTTAATAATTAATAAACAAAGTAAAAACACTTAAAAATAAGTGATAAAATAAATATTTGATATTTAAATTTACCAAATAAGTGTCCCAAAGACAAATTGTACCCACCACAATGGACGTTTTCTCATTAAAAAATTATTCATCTGTCGAAATTAAAATGGTAAATATTCTACAGAATGTCAATGAAGATATTTACAAAGTGGAGCTGATAAAAATAATCAAGTATTTGATGAAATTGCCAAAAATAAAGTAAAAATATAACAAAAGAATTAATGAATATTATTTGAAATAAATATTAAAAATATATATTTTTTTAATTTAAATTGACAAAACAAGCTATTTAAATATTTAATAATACAAAATTTTTGAAATAACTACTTAATTATTCTATAAAAGGAAAAAATGTAACTCAATACAGATTCTACATGTATATGTTGTTAAATTTTGTAATTAATTTATATATACATAATGGAGAAAAAAAATAAACTTAAGTATTGGCACAAATTTTATTACACAATACACAGATATTCTTACACCACACTACTTTCGAAATATTGTAGCTGTACACTTCTGCCAGTATCTGTAACACCTGTCAAAGCATTTCTAAAAGCTACTTTTTATGACATCTTTAAGGATCTTGTTGCTACAATGCTTTTTTCTATGCTACTGATTAAAATCTACTACTCTTCGACTTTATCATCCTTTCCCCAAAATGAAAGCAGTCTTTGAGAGCAAGATCAAAGGACAAAAAAGTTGAAAAAGCATTGTTGTGCTCCTTCTCGGTTATATATTTAATAATTAACCAGAAATGACCAATGCAAACTAAATATTTTCATATTCAGTTTCCATTGGTGATGAAAGCTCTCAAAAACATCACAAAAATAGCTTTCAGAACTGCTTTGACAAGGGGTGCAAAACTTGTAGTAGTAGAAGTTTGTAGGGCAAAAGATACTTACTTTGAAAGTAGTTTTCTATAAATATCTGTCTTATTAATGCAATAAAAGTTATTTTAATCATCTGAGATATTAAACATCAAGAAAATAAAGTCATATTTTTATTTATTTTGTTATGACATTCATTATCTTGAAATGTTATTGAAAAATATATCTGTTATTAAATACAATTCCTCAAAGAACAAATTTATCAAATGGATTATATTTATAATAATTATGCAATAATTATTATGCTAGGTAAAGTTACATTGCAGAATCACAAATATTGCTTTAACTATTTAAAATAAAAGATGTTTGTCATAACAGCTTCAAAAACAATATTTTTATACTTTAATGAAAATCCCATTTAATTTCTATATTCAACTTCCATTTATTAATTATTTGACAATTATAATTCTTGAAGTTGTAGCTTTGTCTTATTGGTTTCAGCTGGTTTCATATTGGTTATTTTTGAAACAAAATTATTTGTGCTGCATCAACCAGAATTTATAACACTGTCTTGATATGCATATAAATTAAAACTACAAGCACATTAAAATCACAGTAAGCACAGGCAAATTATATTTTTTTCTCAGAAAATTTAGATTTACTGATTTAGATTTTGTCAGATAAAGTTACAAAAATGTAATCAATAACAATTCAAACTATTTAATCAAAAAATGATTCATATACTGTATTCTGAACATTGTAATAAATATTTTCTTAAAAATATAAATGAGCCAAAGACTAATAGAACTTGTGAAATATATTTTTTATAAATTGGATTATTAAATATCACTGAAAAATTGGAATCTTAAAGTTTTAGCATTTTATAGTTTTTTCATGTTAATTAAAGGAATGCAATTTGATAAGGAATAAGACTTATGCTGTTTGAACTTCCTAATTTTATGATTGAAAAGTTAAACTAACAATTAAATATTAAAAACAACACATTTATATTTATTTATAATCATTTATATCCAGCAATAAGAGGAATAAAAACATCCAGAAGGACCCATATCTGGAAGTGAATGGTTTCTGTGAAAAATGTACTTTGATGGATATAAAGTGATCCTTTTCACAGATCATTAAACTTTGTAGAAGATAATGAGCTATGTATGGGGATGGACAAAAGATGTGGTGTACCAAGAGATGGTACATTCCTGTAGTCATTTGGATGTTGAGCATAAACTTTTTCACATATTTTCCCTTTTGTTATTCTACTTGAAATGAATAATAAAGTATATATTCTAGTATAACTACTTTCTTTATATAAAAGCATTAAAGTATATTAAAATAAAAGACTGATAATTTTAACTGTTTTTGTTACATTTCATTTTTAATGCATATAGTATTTCAAAAAAATATTTTTTATGAATGAAAAATTCATTTTTGCAGCATTGTCTAATTTATATGAAGAACAGGGTAAACCAGAAGATCCTTTAATGTAATGTTTCTAAAAACTTTTTCATTTATAATATCAAAGTCAGATGATAAATATATATTGGTTAACATTAACATGCTAAATAATAGTAAATACAAATAACCAGATTGTATAATATAAATAAAATGATCCCAAACTATAAAAAGTTTCCTTTTTGATATTTAAGTTTAAATTTAAAGTGTAAAAACTAATACATAAAAATAAAATATATTTAGCATGTCTATTATAAATGTATATTATTTTATTTATTATTAATTAATTAATTATTATTTATTATTATTCAAAAATGCATAAAGACATTATTTTATAATGTTTTTATGCATTTTTCAACTCAAGTTTGTATTTGCAAGTATTAAAGATTTATTAAATAAATTATATTTCAGTAAAAAACATTATTGAACCTAATTATGTTTCTATTGGATTTATATTAACAGTTATTTTTTTGCCATAGATATATTAAACAGCAGTTGGGAATTAATGATTCTAATAATATGGAATCACTAAAACAGCAGCTTATTCAAGCAAAACAGAAATTGGAAGAATTAAAAAAAGAAAACAGTGATCTTCTTGTAAAAGTATGTGTAGATATTGAATAATTTAATTTTCTGTAGACTACTAAACTCATAACACTGCTTACAAATGTAAAAAGAAGTTTCAATTACTTTTATCAACTTGAACATATTATTATTTTATTAAATTACTGTATTATTAATTTCTTTAGTTTTTTTAATACATTAAACAGTATGAAAATAAAATAGATGAAAATAAAGTGGAAGGTTAAATTGAATGATCCAGCAAGAGTTTTTAATTTATTATTTATTTATTTATTTATTTAAAAAGAATTTCATTTCAATTTCAAAACCTCTTAGAGAACCTTCTTAAATAAATCTTCAGTAACTTGTCACATTTAGAATGAGTAATGTTTTCAATCCTCCATCTGGATCTTCATCAGGTCAACCGTTCTAGAATCAGAATGCTTGGAACATCATCACTAATTCTGTTCATTTATCAAATGTTTATCCAGCTTTAAATCTGATGCGTGACATAGTTATCATGAGATATGGTACTAATTTTCCAGATTATTTCAGATGGATCTAATCAGAATTTATCTAAAGGTGAGATTTATTTAAGGTTTTCTAAGATGTTTTGAATTATATTTCCACTCCAGTCTGAGGAATTGTGAGTAGAACATGTAATTGATCAGACAGGTCATTGTTGTTGATTGTTGCTTTAATTTTGCTATTTGTGTATGTTGACTCAAAGATACTATACTTAAATTTATTTAAATTGTAATCATTTAGAGAATAAAGTTGGGTATACTGAACAGGAAGACTTGTGTGTGACTTTTAGAATACTAGAAATGAAGTTTTGACAGTATTTTCAGGAAGATGAGTCAAACATTACTCATTTTAAAACATAATTAAAACCTTTTAAACATGTTTAAATATTTTCGATTCATTAAAAACGGTAGCATAACTGTTTAACCATATATAGAAAATGTGTAGGGTTATTTGAGGCACAAGACCAAAGTTTTAAATTCTTTATGTCTATTGAAAAAGATAATTTACTTAAAAAAAAAAGCCAGCTTAAAAATTTTTATAAATCAAAACTTCTTATACAATTTATATCACTCAACAATAGAAAATAACTGAACTGTGTGAATAAAAACAAAAGAGTTTCCTGAATTGTCTACGCAAGTAGAAAAACCTAAACATTATAATGAGCACGACCGGAAAAAGTTTATTTTTAATGATTCACAATGTGAAAATATTCATTAAAAATACGAATTTAAGAAATATGAAATAACTACATTTATAATCATTGCTAAGTGACCAGCTATTTTCGGACAATCTCTTTGAAAGCGACATTCCTCTTAATGAATTTAATTATTAATTAATAAGTGTATTATAATTAAATATAGAAAAATTTGTGTGTTATATTTTTAAATTAATATTAATTACAACTTAGAAAAATACAATTAATAATAAATATTTTAAATAATTTTAAAAATAGAAAAAAAAAAACTTAAATATGTAAATAAACTTTTTCCTTTAGATGGCGAGCTGAATTAAAAGGAAAATGGGCGCTTCTTGGTAATTTCTTATTCTTCGTAAACAGTTGAATATGGAGATATTGAATTCTGAGTATTAAATAATTTTATGATATATTTTATATGAAAATTTTTAAAATTAACTGTATTTGCTTAAAAAATCGATTATTTTTTTTAGTTGTAATATTGAGTGAGTATAAAGTTTAGCTTGTATGTTTTCTTAAATTTATAAGAATAATTTAAAAATGGTTTATTTTACTTAATCAATTACTAAGTTTATTTATTTGAACAAATTTTAACTTCATACTTGATTATTACAGAAATTGCTTTTAGCCCTAAGTAAAATTAAATTAAGTAAAATATCTATAACCGTGAGGCAGATAATAGTAAGGGCTTATCACACCAATGCATTTTGGATTTTTACGGTTTTTATACTTATGTGATCATTGTACACCCCTTTTTGTTTTATTAAATGTTTTACTTTGATTCTGGAGCGTTTGTACCCATTATCATTGGTGTGATAAGTCCTTACTATTATTTGCCTCACGAATATAGATATTTTAATTAATTTATTCTTGATCTTTATGCACCTCTGAACAAAATCATACACAATAGATAATTCTAATATCGTGATTAGTGTTTTAAATTTAAATATACGTGCCCAGATAATGAATAACAGAAAATTTATAGTTTGTTACAGATATTATTCATAAAAACTTTGAGATAGGATGAAATTTATAATTGAGACAAGTTAGAATATTTTTTGAATTTGTCATATGCATTTAATATAGATGAAACAATAAAATTTAGTTTTGTATACCCCTAAAAGGAATTTTCACAAATCTCGCTTAACAAGTTATAAAGTTTAAATGTGATAGTTATTGAACAATTTTGAATAAAGAATATTCTCCATAGATTACTCTCATCAGAAATATTTAATGCTTTAGTTAGGATTGACAGTTCTTTCTGTCAATACACAAGACTGTGCTTTTGAATGTCAGTTCAAAATCTGTGTTAAGAAACAACACTTTTCAAATTTATAGAAATTTCATATATCCAGTTCCATATTAGATATATCTGTTAATATATTTAATGAAATTTGTATGACTATTTTTTAAATTAAAAGTATAGAATTCTTATATAAATTATTTAACAATTAATAATACTGTAAGTATTTAAATTCCTTTGAATATAATAGTTATATATGTTTTATATAAGAATTTCCATACATTTCATCATGGAAACTGTTTATCAATATAAGTGTCAGGAAAAAGTAAAGTTGCACTTGTACTGTAATGTTTTCATAGTAAGTTATATTGTTTGTGTTGTATACCTGGTTGCGTAGGAAAATATAAAGTGAAGTCATATTCAGTATCTATATTTAAGTTTCCACAGGATTTGATTTGAAAAGCAAACCAATGGATTAGAGAATTTGTAGAAAAAATAACTTATTATTTAAAATGTTTTAACAATTATGCATTAAAAAGTATGAATTATGTTTAGGTGAAAATATATATTAAATTGTTAACTAATCTGCATTTTCACTTAGCATATTCTGTTGTAGTATGTATATAAAAGATAAAATACAAGTTTCTGTAAGGTTAAAAATAATGTATTGTCTAATAGAGAATGTAAAAAACAACTTAATTTGCAATTTACATTTATTGTTTTTGATTATTTTATTATTATAGTAAATGTACAAAAAAAGCTTTATTGAAATTACAAAACAGATAAAAGTTACTTGTTGATGTTTAAAACTGACTGAACATTAAAATATTTGATATCACATAATTTAGTTTAATTGAAAATTTTGCAATAATTTTAACATTAATGTCAATACACACAANGAATTGATGCCTACCAGGCAATTTTCGGAGTCCTGGTGGTCCTCTGGGATCTGGGGGTGTGTGGCATATAGGCACGCTCTCCTCCTTTGATTCTTTTTTCAGGCTTTCAATTACCTCTTGGATGAAGCGTTGGTGGGTCATCCGACTTCCAGACTTTTCTTTGTAAAGAATATATGCATTCAACATCATCCTGGCCATGATATTGAAAGCCACTTTTCTCCAACATTTCCTGGTCCGCCTTTCATCCAAATACGTGTATAGCATCATATCGTGAGTATCGACCCCCCCCATGAACTTGTTATATGATAAAACTATTTGTGGTTTTAATTTCTCCACTCCGTGTCTCTTAACAATTTTGGTGTCGCGAGCCCCTTCGTGGCTGGATAAAAGACGTACCGGTTGTGGATTATTCTCGTGTTCCCTGAACCCACACGCCAATATGGGGCCAGACCTGAAATACTTGATCTGGCCTACTGCGAATCTTTCGTTGAAGCCAAGAGGTAATTGTTTTCTGAGTGCTCGCACTGTCCCAGTGCAGTAAGTTCCGCGGGAATATAGGCCACGAACAAGGGGTACAGACGTGAAATAATTGTCAATAAACACGTGATAACCTTTGTTATCATAGTTACCAAGTTTCACTAATTGCCGAACAACAGTATATCCCAAACCAAACTTTGAGATATTGTTCTTCTCTGCCTGGGACTTGGCCCCTTTGTAAGTGAAGAAGCCCAGGCAATAGTGCGAAACAGAGTCGCACAGCATCCAAAGTTTGATTCCCCACTTGTGATGTTTTTTCTCGGGAAGATACTGAATGTTCGGATTATGGCACTTGGTTCCTACTAGTGATTCATCGACGCATATTTCACGATGTGGGGTATAGTGATGTCTGAACACCTTGTTCGCGTGATCCTCCAAAGGTTGGTATCTTGCAGAGGGACTATAACCTAATTCCTTTGGGCCAGGCAACTTACTATTATCTACGAGATGGAAGAATCGAAGCAAGTGATAAAAGCGGTTCCTACTACAAATTTCCGCGTACCACTTAGATACGTACGGAGGAAGATTGGACCAGTAATCCGCTAGTTTAGGTCGTCTGTCAATTCCCATTGCAAAAATAATAGCCAAAAACCCCTTTATATCTTTAACAGTGACTGGTTTCCAGATCTTCAGATATTTGGGAACATTTCCCCCATAGCCATTTATGACTTGCTTGGCATACCTATTAGTTTCTGTCACCATAAGAGAAAGCAAAGTAAAAGTGAAAAAAAGGTGAAAATACTCTACAGGATGAGAATCAGGAGGAGGCATATGTTTGGGGCCAGATAGTTCATTGAAAGGGAAAGTAGCAGGTAGAGATTGTTCTGGTGGCAGAACTTCAACGTACACCTCATCTTCCAACTCGTCATCAGAAAGCTGAAAGGAGGAGGGTCCAATATATGCCATGGACGGTGCGGCAGACGTGGACGGTGCGGCAGACATGGACGGTGCGGCAGAGGGGGATTCTTATGAAAGTTATTGCTATTTTGTTGCTTTAAAGCAAACTTTAAATGAAATACATAATTTTACATTAGTTAAATACCTGAACAATCAACGATTAAAGTAATATTTATAATTTATACATAGTTTAATGTTAAATCATCATACATTACTGATTATACATTACAGTATGAATACTGTAATGTATAATCAGTAATGTATGATTTAAAACTAGGTTTTAAATCATCATACATTGAATGCATACATTCTTTACAAAGAAAAGTCTGGAAGCCGGATGACCCACCAACGCTTGCAAAATCTTTGATGATTTAAAACTGAGTCTCTATTTTTACTGAATGACATCAGTAATGCACATTATAGTTCCATTGCTTAATTTAGAGCTTGTGACGTCAAAGAGATGAATTATGCTATTAGATTTACAACAATTACTTATTTAAATTATTCATAACATTACACAATCTTCACTATGCAAACAAATACAAAAATTTACACAGGAAGAATAAAATATTAAAAATTCAAATACAAATCATAGGACATCATAAATTGCTTGGCAGGTTGCAATACTTTCCAAAATTAATTCTGATCATGCATATCATTATCTTGAAGTGATTCTACATCTTTTTGTATAAATGTAACAGTGAGAAAGTAACATTGGAGATTTTTTTATAGCTTGATCCCATTTTAAATATCACATAACATAACATATTTAAATGCTGATAATATTGAGGGAAATAACTAGCAAATCCCATAAAAATCTAAGGAAGATACTCTCTCTATTTTATCTGAAATTTTTTCATCTATTTCTGTTATTTTTGATATATCTGAGTCTGATTGAACTTGGTTAGATGGGTTTTCTTCTAAAGCTTCTGAAACATAAAATTTCTTGCTTAGCAGAAATTAGGACCAAAACTGTAAGAGAAAATATCATTTTGTACATTTTGCAACAATCATGCATATAAAACTATAACAAAATTATATTACAGTAGAGCATCAATTATTTGACCCCCGATTAACCGTCACATCGGTTAACCGACCGTTCTAGTCGGCAAATTTCAAATGTCCGCTAGTGATGTGGCGCTACAATATTTGGCTATGTCTTGGCTACTTTAATATTATTTTTGTTAAATTTTTGCATGTTTTAGCTGGCAACACTGGCTCGACCATGAAAGGGAAGCCAGAATTTAAACTAGACTTAATTTTCCAATTATGAGCAGTTGTTTGTTTTGTGAGCAATAAAATAATTTAAAAATAATTTTTAATGATACAATAGCAGCGATTATTATTTAAAAAAAAAAAATTTGTTAGGCTTAACATCGATGAAAATTCAACGCGAAGTAGGTTAATAGCGATATACTAATATACTAATTACATGGGATATACTAATATAATAATATACTATACTAATAACGTATTTTTTTCATTCTTTTCGGTTATTTGATTTTTTCAGTTATCTGACCAACCCGAGTCCCCAATTGGGTCGGATAATTGATTCTCTACTATAATTATATCAATATTTCATGTACCTTTCATGTTAGCACTGATGTTTGATGAGACAATCCACGTGCAATCCTTTTCCGCATCTTGTGCATACTCTAGTCGATGTCCTTTTTTGATTTGGTGTGCTGCACACGACACAGTGGAATTGATGCCTACCAGGCAATTTTCGGAGTCCTGGTGGTCCTCTGGGATCTGGGGGTGTGTGGCATATAGGCACGCTCTCCTCCTTTGATTCTTTTTTCAGGCTTTCAATTACCTCTTGGATGAAGCGTTGGTGGGTCATCCGACTTCCAGACTTTTCTTTGTAAAGAATATATGCATTCAACATCATCCTGGCCATGATATTGAAAGCCACTTTTCTCCAACATTTCCTGGTCCGCCTTTCATCCAAATACGTGTATAGCATCATATCGTGAGTATCGACCCCCCCCATGAACTTGTTATATGATAAAACTATTTGTGGTTTTAATTTCTCCACTCCGTGTCTCTTAACAATTTTGGTGTCGCGAGCCCCTTCGTGGCTGGATAAAAGACGTACCGGTTGTGGATTATTCTCGTGTTCCCTGAACCCACACGCCAATATGGGGCCAGACCTGAAATACTTGATCTGGCCTACTGCGAATCTTTCGTTGAAGCCAAGAGGTAATTGTTTTCTGAGTGCTCGCACTGTCCCAGTGCAGTAAGTTCCGCGGGAATATAGGCCACGAACAAGGGGTACAGACGTGAAATAATTGTCAATAAACACGTGATAACCTTTGTTATCATAGTTACCAAGTTTCACTAATTGCCGAACAACAGTATATCCCAAACCAAACTTTGAGATATTGTTCTTCTCTGCCTGGGACTTGGCCCCTTTGTAAGTGAAGAAGCCCAGGCAATAGTGCGAAACAGAGTCGCACAGCATCCAAAGTTTGATTCCCCACTTGTGATGTTTTTTCTCGGGAAGATACTGAATGTTCGGATTATGGCACTTGGTTCCTACTAGTGATTCATCGACGCATATTTCACGATGTGGGGTATAGTGATGTCTGAACACCTTGTTCGCGTGATCCTCCAAAGGTTGGTATCTTGCAGAGGGACTATAACCTAATTCCTTTGGGCCAGGCAACTTACTATTATCTACGAGATGGAAGAATCGAAGCAAGTGATAAAAGCGGTTCCTACTACAAATTTCCGCGTACCACTTAGATACGTACGGAGGAAGATTGGACCAGTAATCCGCTAGTTTAGGTCGTCTGTCAATTCCCATTGCAAAAATAATAGCCAAAAACCCCTTTATATCTTTAACAGTGACTGGTTTCCAGATCTTCAGATATTTGGGAACATTTCCCCCATAGCCATTTATGACTTGCTTGGCATACCTATTAGTTTCTGTCACCATAAGAGAAAGCAAAGTAAAAGTGAAAAAAAGGTGAAAATACTCTACAGGATGAGAATCAGGAGGAGGCATATGTTTGGGGCCAGATAGTTCATTGAAAGGGAAAGTAGCAGGTAGAGATTGTTCTGGTGGCAGAACTTCAACGTACACCTCATCTTCCAACTCGTCATCAGAAAGCTGAAAGGAGGAGGGTCCAATATATGCCATGGACGGTGCGGCAGACGTGGACGGTGCGGCAGACATGGACGGTGCGGCAGAGGTGGACGGTGCAGCGAACGTGAACGGTGCGGCAGAGGTGGACGGTGCGGCGAATGCGGACGGTGCGGCAGAGGTGGACGGTGCAGCGAACGTGAACGGTGCGGCGAATGCGGACGGTGCGGCAGAGGTGGACGGTGCGGCGAATGTGGACGGTGCGGCAGACATGGACGGTGCAGCAGAGGTGGACGGTGCAGCGAACGTGAACGGTGCGACAGAGGTGGACGGTGCGGCAGATGTCAAGGTTGCAGGCTCCTCCTCTTCATCATAGTCCGAGTAGAGATCCCTGTACTCTGGAAACTCAACGCTACTTTGACTGTCATTGTCAGAAGATTCAATATCTGAGTCTGACAACTCGTCAAAGTAGGTTGAGACTTCCATTTCTTTGATTTTTTTACTTGAAGACATTTTAAAATCTAATTTGAAATAAAAGATACATGTTACAATTGAGAATAAGAGTAAAAAAAAAATTAAATAAAAACTCAACACATTATTAATTCCAGCAATTATTTAATAAGATGATAACGTTTGACTGTTTTAAACAGCCATCATCAGTTAAACAATTTCAAATTAAAAGAATGCTAAAAATAGAATACAAGCTTTTAGAAACTCAAATTCCAAC